TGGGCAATTACCCTTCCTCAAATAAAACAAAACAGCAACTAACTACCATGATAAATAAGAATGAACTCTAGAAACATCCACACATTTGGAATGACATCCAATTTTAAACATAAATAGGGATGGGTTAGAAGAAAGTCAAACAAGCAGACAAGAAGTTGGAAAATGGTAGGGAAAATCAGATGAACAACGTAGGATACCTAATATTCAATCAAAAATGATCATAGAATAAGAAAACAGAGAAAATGGTGGTCATAAAATTAGCAAAGAAATAACAAAACATTTCTGGGAAATATATTTTTATTTATTGCACATCATGCCAAACACAGTGAAGAAAGACAGCCAGCAGAGGGCCATCACAAAACTTCTGAGCACTCAAGCAATAAAGGGAAGATTCCAAATTGTCAGAGAGAAAAGGAACTGAATGAAGCAAAAGAATGAAAATAGATCCAGACTTCGCAATAATAGCATGAGTACCCAAAATGCAGGGCCAGGCCTTGAAAGACTTGGAACATGGTTTTTAACCTGAACTTCTATGTGCAGCACTGTCAGTCAACTACAGAGATAAAATAAAGGCATTTTTAGACCCGCATGGACTCAAAAATATTTGGTTCTCTTGTGTCCTTTCTTAGAAAACTACTAAAGGATGTAGTTCCACACAACCAGGGAGTAAAACCAAGAGCCAGATGAGGGACCCAGGAAACAAGGGCTCAACATGGAAGTGAAGGAGGTTAAAGGATGATGGCTTTGCCTCAGGCCCATAGGGCAAACAGTCCAGACTGGAGCAGGAGGACTAACGGCTGTGGAAGAGAGGACTTATACGAGAGAGGGACGGAGTTGACTGATCAGCCAGTATACTTAAGATGTAGAATAAGCTGTGCTAGATGTTTTACAAATTTGTTTTTAAAAAATAAACTTGAAAAAAAGTATTATGCTACTAAGCTGAGAAGCATATCTAGCTAAATAATGTGGACATTGACCATTAATTTAGCAAAAATTGGGTTTTTTTTTCCAGTACCGGGAATCGAACTCATGACCTCGCACTTGCCAGGCAGGCACTGTGCCGCTGAGCTAAATCCCCAGCCCCTAGCAAAAACTGTTATATAATTATATTTGAAAGGTCACTGGAGAGCAGGGACTGGGGGATGGGTGACTACTGAATAGAAAGTTAAATCTTTATCTAAAACAGCTAATGTAGAAATATACAGGTAAATTCTAGAAGGCACAGGAAGTAGATAGCTTTGTAAGAAGGGATAGGAGAAAGCAATCATCGCTTTTGCTTTTTTTTGCACATATATGAGGAACCAGTACCATATGATTGTTTTAATGTGTGCTTAGATGTTCAGTGTCTACTAGATTGACATATGTATTAAAGTATAACTAATCAAAGGAAGTTGGTTTTTAAAAATTGATTATGTGAACTCCTTGTGGTCTGCAGATTTGAAAACCTTCACAGTAAGGAAGTGCCCCCTCGGAAACGCCACACAGGCAGCCTGCCAGAGCCGTAGCACAGTATCTTCCATATGCTCCCAATGCCTTGGGATCTGTAGACTCTGCGGAAGGGTGATACACAAGCAGGTTTGGACCAGTGCGTCAGTCAGGCCAGCATAAGCAGGGAGAGACAACCAAGGTTCAGTTAGAACTTAAACTGGGGAAGAAAATACATGAGAGTCGCATTTGTACTATGACTACCAAAATGCAAAACTGGTATGTTCATAACAAGACGGGAGTGGGAGATGTGAAAATTGTTTTATTTATCAGAAATGGGACTGGAAATATCTTTTCTTCCGATTTAGAATTATATGCAGATAGCTGTCATATATGTGCGGAAGTGAGTTGAAGTTTTTATAGGAAATCAGCGGCATCCTCTGTTCTGCTTCCCTCCTGCAGCCTAATCGCTTACACGGAACAGTACGTGGAATATGACCCTTTCATAACGCCAGCAGAGCCATCCAACCCTTGGATCAGCGATGACATCACTTTATGGGACATAGAGATGAGGTAAAAAAAAAAAAATGCTTTTGGGTTCTGGAGTGTGAGAGATGGAGACAAAACCCATAAGCTCATGGGATTACTTCATTCCCTATCTTAAAGTTTGACTCTATCACTAGAACAGAAGCCCCCAAACCTCCACACTTTGTTCTACTTGTTCATGGTTTCTGCCTCCTTATCACTTTGACCTGTACACAGATCCTTGGTGGCTCCGCTCTGACTTTTCATGTCATGACAACTGGAACAGTCCCTCACCACTCCCTAGTCCCGCCTTAATGACAGTAGCTGGCACTTACTGGCCATATCACACAGTGGGTGTCTTCCGCTGTATCCCCTCCACAGTAAACATTATTATTCTTACGGTGGAACAGATGTGAAAACTGAGGCATGGTGGAGTTAGTGAACTTGCCCAAAGGCACAGAGCTAGCAAGGAGTTAATCCTGGAACCCAAGCAGAGGGCCCCAGAGTGACTTTCATCTCTGCTCTTCGGCTGTAACTGGCAGCAATAACTCCATCATCCACCAGCTCCTGTCCTGCCAGGGACATAGATGTGTTTACTCAGTAGCTGTAGAAGCAAGACCCAGGGGGCTTTGAATCATTTTTAAAATTGCAAAAGGAGCTGCGCAGACAGTTCTGTGTGGTGTGCCTGTGTAACCGCGGCCCCTGGGCTGGACCATTTACTTCTCTTTTCATTTCTGTGACTCTCACGTTCCCTTTCACGTTTGCTCTTTCTGGAATCTTTCCCTGGAATTGGAAAACCTTATAAAAACCAACAAAAGTCATAGATACTTATAATGAAAAGTTCAAACTATCCAGATGTGCCTAAAGAAGGAAATCCTCTCCTCCTGCAGCCCAATCTCATCTTCCAAGAATCTTTGTTTATAGTCTGCTTCCTTACCCCCACCTGCACCAGCGCACCTAGGGTACTTCAGGGGACTCCCGGCATAGCGTGAGTTGGTGATGAAAACACAGCCGTGTTTGATTCGTGTCAGATACTGCATGAGCTGTTTCCTGGCTTAGGGTAGTTCCCCATCGACATCAGAGCACATTCCACCCTTTTCAGTGATGTCACATCTTTGCAAATCTAGGTTTTCAGAACCATGTCTGAGATAAAAAAAATTCATACTTTTTGATTTGCAAAAATAAATATGGAATATGTAATGGGGGTAGGGTTCAACCTGATTCCGAAGTTTGAGAAGATGTGCAGTGCTGAACAGATGACTGCATGTTGTGGTTATTTAAAGAATGAAATAAAAATAATTTTTGCAAGATATGAGCATTTCATATATCTAAGTAGGTAGGACATAAGTACCTACTAAGTTTTTTATCCTGACCTTAATAAACAAAGCCATTAGGTATGACTTGCAGCTCAGGGGTACCACGAAAAACTTAATGAGACACTAAGGGTGCTGTGAACTCAGAAAGTTTGGGAATCTCTGACTTCGTGCACATAAAATGTCCTACTTTTTAGCATAAGTGTGTTCATACCCATATATTGTCAGATATTCTTAATTAGCAATACATCATGACAATCTTTCCCCATAGATATACATCCTTATCCTTTTTTAATATCTACATAATACTCCTGGCGTGAGTGAAGTAAAATTTATTTAACCAATCCCCAGGTCATAAATATTGAAGTGATGTCTTTTTTATGTAAAATAAACAATGATCCAGGGAACATCCCTATACACAAGTCCAATTATTTCTTTCATATGAATTTTCCAGAAGTAGAAGTGCTACTTGGAGTGGTATGCCTATGTTAATTTTTAATTTTGGTTCATGCGCCAGAGTCCTATTGTTTTCATTCCCTTGACTTAAAAGTGATCATTTCCTCACATCCTTACCAACCCAAACATTAGCAATTCCCTTAACTTTGCAAATCTGATAGGTTAAAAAATCCTCATCTTACTATTTCTTTATTAATGTACTTGATAATCTTTTCACCTGATTATTAGATATTCATTCTTCTATGACTTGCAAGTTCTTGTGTCTTTGCCCGTTTTCCTAGTGATTTGCTTTGCTTTAGATATTGAGGTATAGGGGGCTGGGGATTTAGCTCAGCGGCACAGCACCTGCCTAGCAAGCACAAGGTCATGAGTTTGATTCCCAGTACCAGAAAAACAAACAAACAAACAAAAAACAAAAATGATAGATACTGAGGTATAAAACTGCCTTTGAGTTTAGATCATTTCTTTTATCTGTTTCCCTTATTTTTATGTTTTCAGAATCTCTTTCTTTTTTCTCTTCCCTAACTTTTGCTTTACTAGTGAAGGTTTGTATTGGCCTTTTCTTAACTCTAGTTCTTTTGTCTAGTCATAGTTACTTTTGAATATTTTTGTTAAAAATATTACTGATTCATACACATATTTTTGAGGCATATAAATTAAAAAATAGAGGCTTCCTTTCACCTCTTCCACCATTTTTTCCCAGCAATATGGTAATTTGAAAGAGTTTAACCAACATTTTGCAACTTATTCTATCAACATTAAAGGAAGCTTTAGTACAGAAGTGAGTGTCTCTTATCTTTTTACTTGTATTTCTAATATGACCCAGGGAGTCTTGTCCATTCTGATCCAAGAATTTAAATCTTTCTTTGGCTCAGGATCTTTTTTCTTTTTCTTTTTTTTTTTGATTACTGCAGCTCTTTTGTCCACTTTATTCTCTCTTCTCAGGAAATCCTGTGCTAGGAATTCTGGGCCTCTAGAGTGGAGCTATCATATCTCTTATGTTTTCTCAATTATAATTCCTGTCTCTCCATATTTGTATTCTATATTCAAATGACAGAATTTCTGGGATTGCTCTATAAAGCCGTTAGTTTGGATTTCAATGGTGTAATTCTGTACTTTAATGAGTTTTTCTTTTTCTTCTGAGTATTGGGAGGGGTAATTGATAATCATATTTTTTCCAAGACATCTAATAGTTCTTATTCTTTCTGTTTTTATGGCAGGCTGTTTTGCTCTATTGATATTTACCCTCTAATCTCCCCAAGGACATGATACAAATTTTTTCACTTTTTATAATATTTTCATATCTCTACTCTGCTTCTGCCACATACTCTTGTTTCATAGGCTCAAGGATCATCATTTCTGGTCATTGTTTCATTGCTCCAATCACTGCTCAGATGAATGATTCTCTTCCTGTCCCCAGCAATTTGGAGGCGAGCTCATTTTCTCTAAACAAAATCTTGGCTTTCAACCTTGGTTTTATATTAAAGTCACTGGAGTGAATAAAACTACCAAATTAATTCAGAATTTCTGGCAATAACACATTGGGTTGGGTTGGATTGGGTTGGGTTGTTTTTGTTTCTTTGTGTACAGGGGATTGAACCTAGGGGCACTATAGTATGGAGTTGCAGCCCCAGCCTTTTTTTATTTTTATCTTGAGAGAGGGTCTTGCTAAGTTGCCCAAGCTAGCCTTGAATTGGTAATCCTGCTTCGGCCTCCTAAGTAGTTGGGTTTATAGGCATGTGCCCCTGCTCTCAGCTGACAATTGTGTATTTTTTAAATCTCCCACACAGCCTCCAACTAGAGTCTATCAGTAGCTACTGAGAACTCACTCAGCAAATGTGTGGGTCACTGGTCCTCCAACTATTAAAAATAGTTGCCCTGTGGTGGTTGTGGGCATTCAGCAAGTACTCTAGGAGATTCTGGGATGCACAAGTTAAAGATTCCTGATGGGGTTTTGTTGCGTTGCCCCTGGTAGCTTTCCTCTGAGCCCTTCTAACAGCTGTGGGCTTCCATCTATGTGTCAGTAGGTGGGCACGGGTAAATTGCCAGGGCTCCCCTCTGGGCCCTGGGTAGGTGGTCCAAGAACAGACTGAAAGATCGAGTCCTCTCACAGAGTGAGACCAGGGCCATGCTGTGCTTGGGAGGTGGAGCCCATGGTTGGCATGGCAGCCGTGCAGCCAAGGCCGTGCCCCCTTGCCGGCGCAGGTGGAGCGCCTTGTGCCCCTCACTTCCTCCCCGAGGAGCTCCCCAGCAGCATCCTTCTCGTTCTGTGATGGGCCTGGGAGGCCCAGTTAGATCTGCTAAAGCCAACAGGAAGTAGCAAGCAAGCTAGAGACTCTTTAGAGGTCTCCCTGCACTGCTGAGATGTTTTTCCTCTCTATTTGCTGTCCTGCCTCTAGATGGGGAAGGAGTACCCTCTGGTCTTACTGCCTGCACTAGGCAAACATCCCCCCCTTTACTCAGGAAAGCCTTCCTGCCATGTAGAGCCTGGTCCATGAGTTTCTTCTTCTGTCCCCCACCTAATCCCCACCCACTGCCTCCGCTTGCAGCCCCGCTGCTCAGAGCCTGACGCGTCCCCAGCCTTCTGTTGGGGATAGCAGATACGTTCTCCAGTGGATCCACTAGAATTATAAACTGCTCTCTCTCAGCACTATTGAAATTTCAGCTCATCAGCTTCATACCTTTCTGAATTTCTTCAGGCTGATCATCTGCTGATGGGAAATTTCTGTGCCTTTCGTACCGTGTTCAGGGTTTCAAAACTACTTCACTGACCTCCAGGGTCTTACCTAGCCCTCTGCATTCTCCCCGACCCCGGGGCTTCCTTCTCGCTCAGCATTGCTGCCCTTGCCGTTACCTTAGCACCTACTCCTCATCTGGCACACAGAAGGCGCTCAAAAGCACAGGGGGGAAGGAGGTGGGTGAGTAAGTGATTGTTTCTTGGGTCATTTTTGGGGTATTTGGGGGAGGAGAAGAGGTAAGCTCATGAGCCTCATTTGCGGTGGTAAAGCAAATTTCTTTCCTTGTTCTAAGTCAGCGAAGAAGCACATAATAGTTTGGTCAAGCGGTGGACACCTGGCCGCCTGGCTTCTCCCACTCTATTTAGTACTTTATCCCTACACAGGGTGTTCATTGTCCTGGTGAGAGGTAAGAGGGCTCTGCAGGGCTCTACTCATTGCTCAGGCTCCTGCTGTAATCTAATGCCTCGCCTAGGGGACGTATGGGGTCCCAGCCACCTGCCAGCAGAGTCAAGTTGCATCGATGAGGTGAAAGTGAAGGCCT